GTGGGTAACATGGAATCTAAATGAAACCCATGATTGTATATAATTCAAAGTGCTAGGAGAGATTTATTAAAGCAGAAAAGGAGGGTGAAAAATTAAATTTATGTTTAAGTGTAGAGGTTAAAGAAACATGGCACATGCCTGCAGGAATTCTGTGTAACCTCTACCTTGTCTGTATATTGTAGATTTGGCGGGGGGGGGGGAGGGGGGAGGGGGGGAGGTAAAAAAGGAAGAGAAGGCAAGGAAAAGAGAGGCCAAGCAAGGCAAGGCAAGGGGAAACGGAAATGCAGCTTTAAAAACCTTAACTGCATTAAAAATTGTAATCAATTATCTTTGGATACCAAAAAGAAATTCAAAATTGCATTGATGAAGATTAAGGGACTTACTCCATGACCTTCCATAATCTCCCTTTCATTGTGGATTTTCAATATATTTTGCGTTTAAATATCTCTAAAGGTATGTTTCCACTAACAGATTTTACCGCATTTAACTACAAAAGCTCGAAATTTCTAAATCAAAGGCCCCGAATCGTTAACAGAACGATTGGCGGTGCTCAGTGTCGTAACAGCGATCACGATTAGGGTGAATACGGGGAGATTGGGTCCAAACATTCCGCCCAGGCACAGGCAGCAACTGGAACTGGAGATTCTGTAATCGTGCCGAAACACGAAATGCGGTCAGTTTATCTGTCATAGGAAAGCCCCACAGTTACGAGCTTTTGTTGGATTTTTCGCAGCTCTTTTAGCTATCTCTGGGTAGGGCTTTGCTTTTGTTGGTCTGATCTGCCCAACAGCCCCCGATAAACCGCCCTCAGTCCCTGATGAACTTGCAGCGATGAATATCTACAATGGGAACATAACCAGCAACTGGAGGGCTTTCCAAACGTTCACTTTAGGGAATCCTGGAATGGTTTGAGTTGGAAGGGACCTTAAAAGACCACGTCGTTCCAATCCCCCTGCCACGGGCAGGCACATCCTCCACTAGACTGCCTTGCTCCAAGCCCCATCCAACCTGGCCTTGAACGCATCCAGGGATGGGATATCCACAAGCTTCTCTCGGGGCAACCTGTGCCAGGACCTCACCACCCTCACAGGGAAGAATTTCATCCTAATTTCAAATCTAAACCTACCCTCTGCTTGCTGTGGTTGGTTTCTGTTTAGGATGGAAACCACCTAGAGTAGACAAACTTGCTAAGTACCCACTTCACCTTTCCCAGTACCCCTCAGCATTTCTCCCTCTGCATTTAATTCCTTCTTTACAGCCTCAGAGCTCCTGTGCATTCCTAATCCTCCCCTTGAAGCGCTCCCTCCTCCTGGCACCCACTCCAGCTCGGAAATCCCCAGCCACAGGGTTTAACCATGGCTTGCCGGAATTGGTAGTTCCCCCCACCCAGAACCACCCCTCTCCCATCGCAGCCTCCTGGAGCATTCCCCCCTTCCCTGAGACCAAGCAGTGGTGTGTCTTAAAGCTTTTTCCCTCAGCTTGTTCCCTGCAGACTGTCGGGGGGCAGTCGCTGCCCCGAGCGCACCGCCATCCCTTTTGTCCGCAGGCCAGCCTCGATCAAAGGGTGGCTGAAACCCGTGGGATTATTAAACCCATTATGCGTTCATTATTGGTAATCCGCTGCTGGTTCTGCCAGCGGTCGTGCTTCCAGCGGGGAAACCTGCGGGGCTCCGGTTCAGGCGGGTAAGAGGATACCCCTCAGGACCAGGGGACAGTGTTAAGCTGCGCCAGGGGAGGTTTAGGTTGGACATCAGGAAGGATTTCTTCGCAGAATGGGCGATTCCACGTTGGAATGGGCTGCCCAGGGAGGCGGCGGAGTCACCGTCCCTGGAGGTGTTGAAGGAAAGGCTGTGACCGTGGCACTCCGTGCCAGGGTCTGTCTGACATGGTGGTGTTGGATCACAGGTTGGACTCGATGATCTCAGAGATCTCTTCCAACCTAATGGATTTTGCGATTCAGGGAGACGAGGCTGATGCCGCCAGCGACTCAGGACCCACCGCCCGGCCGTCTGCCCGCTCGCTCCATCGCCCTCGGGTAGGCTGAGCCAGTACCGCCCCGGGACCGGGATTCGGACCGGGATTCGGATGGACACAAGGATCCCAACCGGCTCTCGCGCCGCTCTCATCCCTCAGGGAGAGGGGTGGGGCCGATGACGTCACCGCCCCTCGCGCCGGTCCCGCGCAGGCGCGGCGCGGCCCGGGACCCGGGGCGGAGGGTGATGTAATACCCGTAACGGCCCCGCTCCCACATCCGGGTACCCGCCGGGGTGCGCTGTTTCCCCCCCCCTCCTTCCTCTCCCTCCCTATTTTTTTTTTCCTCCC